TGCGTTGCGATATCAACCCGCACAACAAAGTCGTTCCAAATTGAATTGATGCTAGCTAATCGGAATGGTCGTACTAATTTTGTACAACTCGAAGTTTTAGACTTTGATTTTTTCTATAACTTACAGGTTTTCAAAATTTTAATTCCCAAAAAATATTCGATATGAATTAGGGGAAAATTGCCAAACTGGGGTTTTGAAAATTACCAAACTGGCCATGTTTTGAAAATTGCCAAACTGGCCATGCTCTGGACTAAATTATGCGCGCTTTGAAGAATTATTCATATTTGCTGAGATATTTATGCGTTGCGATATCAACCCGCACAACAAAGTCGTTCCAAATTGAATTGATGCTAGCTAATTGGAATGGTCGTACTAATTTTGTACGACTCGAAGTTTTAGACTTTGATTTTGTCTATAACTTACAGGTTTTCAATATTTTAATTCCCAAAAAATATTCGATAAGAATTAAGGGAGAGGCGGAACATTCAAGGCTCCGTCCTGATATACGAGCAGTCTTGTTTTTGTTCACAATTTGAATACGCATTCATATCTTCTTTTGAGCATCCACAAACGTGCTCTCAGTTCAGCACAGTAGCAGATTTAGGGGGGGGGGGGGCGGACGCCTTCCCCCCTCAGGGATTCGAACCCCTGCCGACCCAAAGGATCCCGCTTTGTTTTGTACTATTTTGAGATATCTATTTTTGGTGAAGTACACTAAAAAATTTTCAAAGGCGCCCTGGGCGCCAACATAAGCTAAGTTTTGTGGGGGGCCTGCCGTAAAAAAACGCAATTTTTTGGTCAAAGTTTTTCAAAAAGTGCCTAAAAACGCCTTTTTGACCAATTTTTTCAAAAACTTGCCTGCGGCGCAGAACATTGGGTCGAATGGGGTATTTATATAGATATGCGATAGCTCAGAAAATCATTTTGGTCAACCTAAAAAAAAGGTCGACAAAAAAGGTCGACAAAAAAAGGTCAAACGCCCTTCGAGAAAATCTTAGATCCACCCCTGGTTCAGCAACCACAACTTTGCCAAAAACGAGCCTTCAAATAAGTACAAACGTGCCTTCAGCTTCAGCTTCGAATCGTAGCGAGGGTTCGAGGTCTCACTTCAATTTAAAATTCCTCATTGGATTCTGAATCTATTTCAGAATTAAAAAACACAATGTTAACAATATACAATTAAAATGAAGCGTTCTGAAAATTGACCCGTTTTCTTGGTTCCAATTCGTATAATTTTAACAAAGAAACTCTAGAAACCGTGTCACGCATTTGTTTTGTAGTATTTGAGTTAGAAATGACTCTAGTGCTTGTTTCATTGTTGTGCTATAAATCGACGTTAGCATCAGTGAGTAATCTTTTTGTTACAATTAATCCAAAAGAGAGACTTTACCAATTTTTGGGGAAGCCTAACAAAACGTTTTGCTTATATTTACCATGGGTGGAAGGGAATGAACGCGCGTTTTTTGCGCTCAGAGAACCCTGGTTATCACAGAAAATTGAAACCAATTTTTAGCTTAGTGTGTAGACATGGGGGCTTTTAAAAGCTATTTATGGAAGAAGTTGCGCTATTAATCGAATCGAGTAAATACAAATTTGAGGAGAATTTTTGTTGGTCAATCCTGAAACAATTGGGTTCCTTATTCTCGTCTTACTTTGAAAGGACTCTTTTATCTAGCCTCATTTCAACAAAAGTTGAGCTCAATCAACCTGCCCTAGCAAAAAAGGGTAGGTTATCGAATGGTTATCTTGTAAGATCTTGTATGGTCTTACAAGATAAACTTTTTTGTAGACATCGTCAAAGATATACATTTTTTAGAGAAATCTTACAAGATACAAATGCACAAAGGCCACATAATCAGGCCACAAGAAGGTTTAAATTAGAATGGTTTAGTTTAAGATAATATAGATAAATAACTCTCATAATAAACCTCATATAAATCAATTATCTCATAATCTGCCTTCTACTGTTATCTTCATTTTTTTTTATTAATTGGATATTTTTAGATATTAGAAAAAAAAACACGAAATGTATTAGAAAGTGTTTTTTTTCTAGTATCTAAAAATATCCAATTAGTAAAAAAAAAATGAAGATAACAGTAGAAGGCAGATTATGAGATAATTGATTTCGTCCCACATAAATTAGAGGTTAAATTGAATTTTTGAATTAGTTCTTGACGAAAAAAATAATCTCGAGTCTAAAATGAGTCTGATTTGAGGCTCAAAATTCGACTCATTTTTAAACTAATATATATGTATACAGGGTCGGATTTAGGGGGGTTGGGGATGCGGACGCCTTCCCCCCTCAGGGATTCGACCCCCTGCTGACCCAAAGGGTCCCGTTTTGTTTTGTATTGTGATATCTATTTTTGGTGAAGTACCCAAAAAAATTTTCAAACGCGCCCTGGGCGCCACGCCAACATAAACTAAATTTTGAGGGGGGGGGGGGGGGGGTGGGGCTGCCGTAAAAAAAACGCAATTTTTTGGTCAAAATTTTTCAAAAAAAATGTCTAAAAACGCCATTTTTGGCCAGTTTTTGAAAGCAGAGCATTGGGTCGAATGGCGCAGAGCATTTGGGTCGAGCGGCGCAGAGCATTGGGTCGAATGGGGTATTTATATAGATATGGGATAGTTCAGAAAATAAAATTTGTCGACCTATAAAAAGGTCAATAAAAAAAGGTTGACCCCCCCTCGAGAAAATCCTAGATCCGCCCCTGATTCAGCAACCACAAATGTGCCTTCAAATAAGTACAGACGTGCTTTCAGCTTGAGC